CATTATTCAGGTCCTTTACGCATAAATTTCATCCTTCAGGTCCCGAATTGATAATTCGTATATCTTTTAGATCCTGAATTAATAAAATCTTTAAAAATCATGAAAGAGGGGCAACCACACCCTTTATTTAACGGCAAACCCAGTTGAGGGATTTGGCAAACGTTTGTTGCTCCTTTGAATGGTCAATGAAGTAGTAGTGTATTTTAATTTTATTTATTAAACTAGTTTTGTAAATTAGTTGGAATATTAAAATTTAAATAAAACAATTAGAAATACAAGTAAACCATAAAAAGCAACATAGTAATAAATAACGATTATACATAAAAGCATTTCTTCTATCCCGTTAAGATTGTCTCATCTTTCCTTTTCGATCTGTCTCATTAAGATTAGGGATTACTTGAATTTGATGTTATCTGAAAAAAAAAATAGATTTAAAATAATCTCCCTCTATCTCTTATAAGTTATACTCGGTGTTAAGTAAGTTATAACTGAGTCATCTTTTCTTTTTATTGTCCAAAGATTTTTGGCATTTTCTTTTTAATCAATTAATAAACAAGTCATACTCCATATTGTTTTTATCTATTCTGCACAAATCCTAATTGCACAGTTTGTGCTCTATTGTTCCTTGTGCCAGTTAAATCTGGCAAAGTTATACAAATCTGATGAAATATTTTATTATTGAAATAAAGAAAAAATTGTATGAAAAGTAGGTAAAGAAGTCATCTTCACTAAATCCAGCCAGAAAAGTAATCACGTTCTTATTTATTTTGATCATTGCACACTTCGCCACGCGAGATAAAATGTAAAAAAAATTGCTTATAAGATTGATAAGTTCAATACAAGAAGTAGGAAACACACTCTAAATCATGAAACTCTAAAAAATATCATCCTTGAGGGTCCTTAAATCGGCGAAATAGTTATCTTAGATGACCGAAATTAAATGGGCAAGAGATTGAATTGATGCCCTGAGGACTGCTCAGGTCCAGCCGGGGGGACGGAAACCATCGTCCGAACTCCGACGTTTGGGGCGGTTCCCGGTGAAATTTTTTGAGCATGTTACTCATCAAGTATAGTTTGTCCATACCAAATTGCAGCTCAAAATTCGATCGGGAAGGCATTCAAATCATTTTTTGAAGTTGACTGCGCCAAAATATACATATAAAAACGCAGTCAACTTCAAAAAATGATTTGAATGCCTTACCGGTCGAATTTTGAGCTGAAATTTGGTATGGACAAACTAGACTTGATAAGGAACATACTCAAAAAATGTCATAAACAAATTCCAACGGGAACCGCCCCAAATAGCGGAGTTCAGACGGCGGCTGGACAGGGAAGGGAGGGACCTGAGCATTCTGGATGCCCACATTTATAGTTTTTGTTCCTCAAAATATGTTCGGAATTGATCCATTCTAGTTTCAGAAGCGAATTGTCGGGTCAAAAAAAATCCATGTTCACCCATATTTACATGATATTTTTTCTGTCTATTTTGATGCGTCTGTTTAAGTTTAATCTAATTTGATTTGAACTAGTTTGATTTGACGTGATAAATATTTATTTTATAATTATATTTTATTATTGTTTAAGTCTGATCGAGCGTGATCAATATAGACCAATTTGATTTAATATGATCTAGAGCCCGTTTGATAACACTAAAATTGGCTGATTCTGCTGAAATTTATGAAGTTCTGGCTGAAGTGGTTATATTGGTTGATTCTGCTGATTAATGAAAAAATTATATTTAAAATATTTGTTATTAATAAATAAAATAAAAAATTATATGAAAAATTGCTAAAATGATCCTCTACAGTAGTTTCAGCCAATACAGCCAGAAAAGTAATTTCAACATTACTTTTTCTGCTTATTACATAATCCAGCGTGCGAAATCAAAAGTTACGTGTTTGATGAAAACGCTGGCTGATAAGCCTGATAAGCCGAAAAAGAAGTCACCAAACGGGCTCCTAATTTTAAAAATCAGGACTAAGAAGCACAAAAGCTTCTCATAAATCACATTTAACTTTTCAAAAAGGGGAAAATAATTTAAATAGTTTGAAGGGGTGCGAGATAAGTACCTCAAACTTGCACATATAATATATATACCCAAACTTTATATAAAAAATTATGTTAGCACCATGATTATATATATTTTTGTAAATGTAATTTTATGGTGTTAACTCTAAAATTGATGAAATTTTAACTAAAACAACTCAATTAATTGAATCTATTGAACTACAAAGAAATTATATTTAGAATATATTTTTATTAATGTCCTTTTGTCCCATTCAACATTTTTCGTCTGTTGCATTAACTTTGCCTCATACTATATTTGGTAATATTTAGGCAATCACAATTCATTTTTAATTTAGTCACACTTATCAATTTAATACTGATAACAAAATCTAACTTTCCATAATAACCGCCCTATTCCCTCTCATCTCATGTAGTAATAATATAAAGAAAAAATTAGATGAAAAAGCTAAAATAGTTGGCTTTGAAAAAATTGAGTCAATTTTACCAGCTTCACACTAACTTATTTTGATTATTATATACAATTCATCTAAAATAGCTGATTTAAAATAGTTTGACAAAAAATGAATGATAAGGTAAAACCGTATATTATTGAACAGGTTTTGTGTGGCAAATAAGGTAAAACATATGCAACACAAAATGTAGTCTATTCATATTTCTTAATATTTATATCAAAATATTAGAAAAATTGACATTGGTATTAGTAACAAAATTTTCCTAGATAAGAATATGACTAGTTATGTTTTGGGCAAAATTATGACTAGTCACTGTGTACGGGTAAGGATGATTTTACTTAGACAGTTTTCAGTCCCAGATTAGACTTAAACAGATCACCAGACTTAAACAGATCACCAGCCCCTTGTCCATTTTTAAATTTTCATTATTTAGGTGTAAAACCTCAAATTTGCAACAAAAAAAAGACATGTTTAGGTGTCAGATGTGAACCTGACTCTTTAGACACAAGATGGTAAGATTGAGCCTAAAATGATCGGAATGAAGCACCACCTACAAAAGTACTTCAAAAATGAAAATACTCAAACCATATAAATTTATTCAAATGAACAAAGTCATTCATAAAAAGTCTATAGATTAAAAAGTTGGTGATTTTAAAAAATCACCATAATCAACCAAAGCCATTCTTAAAATGTCTATGGATTGAGCTGTCATTACACTCATTTTATCTGTTAAAGCCAAATGTGAGTGAAGGCAGGCGTGCAGTACTGCAATGTGCACGACTCTTTCAAACAAGGAATCTATTATCCGTATTTTCTAGTCAGCTAATCAACGGCATCGATGATCCCGCATGGCAACCATCCGAAACTTCCATTTCGCTTCCACGGCTCTTCCTGCCTTTAGCTAAATTACCGGAAATTTGCTATAGGTACCCCATACTTACCCCATTTCCTACCCCATATAAATACCCTCCCAAAAATTTACCTCCACTCCCTCATCTAGTCATCTTCCTTCCCCCTTATCTCCCTTTCATCTCCCTCTTTTCCAGCCAGCCCCTCTCCCTTTCATTTCCCTCAATTAAGCCTCCCCTACTTGGTTCCGGCGAACACCCAAGCAGCTACAGTGGGAAGTCGGAAAACCCAGTCGGACACCACCCAAACCCCCGTCAGGCGTCAGGCCCCGGCGACCCCCAACGGCAACGGCAAGGTAGCAGGAGTGGAGATCTAACAGTAGCTGGACTATGTAACGGCAGGCGGAACTGATGTCCGGCAAGCCGGTCATCTTCTCCGGCGACACCTGACCGTTGTCCCAGTAATTTCAGTGCCGGCCAGATTTAAAAACCTTCCACACCTTCTCCATCAACCTGTAATTTCAGTTCAAAACCTTCAAATTCCAGCGACCATAACTTCGAAACATACCTGTGATGGTTCAGATCTGTTAGCTTTGGTTCAGATCTGTTAGCTTCAAATTCTAGTGAAAAGAGTTGTCTGGCATTCCATTTGATTTGTCTGTAATGTGAAAATAGTTGTCTGTCTGGTGAAATTATGAAGTACTTGTGTATATTTAGACTACTCTGTGATGATATTGAGATGTCTGTCATGGTATTTTGAATATTATGTAATTGGTTTGGAGTTGTCTGTCAATTTATTTTGAATTGTTTAAAATTGGTTTATAGTTGTCTGTCATGTGAAAGTAGTTGTCTGGCAAGACATATTAGTTGTCTGGTACGTTAAATCCAATTATTTAAAATTGGTTTGTAGTTGTCTGTCATGTGAAAGTAGTTGTCTGGCAAGACATATTAGTTGTCTGGTACGTTAAATCCAATTGTTTAAAATTGGTTTGTAATTGTCTGTCATGTAAAAGTAGTTGTCTGGCAAGGCATATTAGTTGTATGTTACGTTAAATCCAATTGTTTAAAATTGGTTTGTAGTTGTCTGTCATGTGAAAGTAGTTGTCTGGCAAGACATTTGAATTGACTGACAGTTTATTTTAAATGGTAGAAAATAGTTTTGTAGTTGTCTGTCAGGTAAAATTAGTTCTCAGGCAACCCATTTGAATTGTCTTGCATGTTGTTTGGAATTCATTAAAATTGGGTTGTAGTTTTCTGTCATGGGAATTGACTTCTCTACCAATGTATTGCAACAAATTGTCTGTAATGAGATATAAAATGTCTGGCCTTTCTACTGAGTTGTCTGTCTACAAGTCGGGAGAATGTGGCCCAGATTACTAATGTCTGGCCAAGACAAAATTTGTTTGGCTATACGACGAAGAGTACTTAATTGGCCCAGACTACCAATGTCTGGCCAAGACAAAATTTGTCTGGCTGTAAGACAGAGAGTAGTTAATTGTCCCAGACTACTAATGTCTAGCCAAGACAAAATTTGTCTGGTTGTACGACAGAGAGTAGTCCTTATTCTAACAGGAAAACCTACTCTTCTCCTTGTAAAGACTACATATGTAATTCATTCACCAAATTTGTCTTCACATTATCGATACAACCATGTTTAAAAAAAGGCACACACATTTATATAAAAACTTCATTACCAATACAACCATGTTTCCAAACAAAATCACATACATTTAAAGTTGTCTAACCACACACACATTTTATGTACGACTCTAACAACTATAAAACCACGTTCACTTCAGTCAACTATGAAACCACGTTCACTTTATGCTAGACAGACACTGCAGTTCCAAATTGTCTGTCCGCCAAACAAAATACAAACAAATGACGAAAAACAACATACTCTTCTCCTAGACTAACAAATACAGACACTGCACTTACAAGTTGTCTGTCAGGAAAGACAACCCTTTTTTTCGAAAACACACCAAAAAATGGAAAAATCGAGAAAAGTAGATCTGCTCAAGTCATTCTAAGCTTCTTGATCTGCACTTTCGCCGTTGTCTCCCCACGTCACCGAGCTCTCCCCTTCGTCCGATTACTTTAGCTCTTCCATTTGAAAATGAAAAAAAGCAGAAGAGGAGAGAAGCAGGAGAAGAAGCTTGGAGGGAGAAAAGATTGTAAAAATGAAAAGACTTGATTGGGAGAGATCTTGAAATGGAGAAGAAATCAAGATTTGGAGAAAAGAGAAAGAAAGGGGAGGGGATGGGGGGCTGCGTGAAAAGAAAACATGGAGGAGAGAGGGAGGGAAGGAGAAGAAAAGTGGGGGAGGGGAGAGGGTTTTGGAAAGGAGTAAAAGGGATGGTAAAAAGGAGAGTATTTATATGGGGTAAGAAATGAGGTAACTATGGGGTACCTATAGCAAATTTCAAATTACCGTGCATCTGTGACACTACGGAAACAATTCCCACTACCTTTCCTCCCTATTCCCCAAGCATCTCATCCAATCCAGAGAGAGATAATTCCGGCGACCGGGAAATCCGAGACACAACCCTATACTCTGTTCTGATCTTTCGATTTCTCCCTGATCTGACTCGGTTTCTACATCACGGAAGATCAATCAACTCTTTTGGCTGCAGGTCTATCCGCATTACAACTTACTGCGAGGTTTTAGTTCGTTGAAAAAAATCTTCTGTGCCATTTTTAGCGCTTCTGGTGGGAATTTCTTTCAGGACTGAGTAAGCTATAGAAACTAACGAGTTTTCTCATTTACGCGTCTATTATTAGCTGATATTGCAGCTTGCTTTTCCTAAGTCGTTCGTAAATGAGTACCCCGGCTAGATTTATGGAATTTATACAATTTTTATGCTTACAAGTCACAGGTTATCATGGGTTTGCTTTTCCTGAATAGTTTTGGTTCTGTTCTATTGCTGAAACATTTAGGTGGATCACGTAATAATCAAATAATTTTCAATCATCATGGTTTCAAAAAGTATACATTTTTTAGCAAAAAAGTAATGATTTTTTCATTGTTTCTATGGAGCCGCTAGCTTTAATTTCAGTGGGCATTTATATTGTCATGATTTGCTTTGTAGTTATTGATTGATTAGTATACTTATTAAGCCCTATCACTGGAAATATAAAATAGGTGATCATTTTGAAGGAGGATAAAAGAAGAAAGACGAGGCCTTTTGGTCTGATGGCACCAAGCACGATTAGGAAAGCTATTGGGACTGTGAAGGACCAGACAAGTATAGGGATGGCTAAGGTGGCTAGCAACCTGGCTCCAGAGCTGGAAGTGGCTGTAGTGAAGGCGACTAGCCATGATGATGATCCGGCACGCGAAAAGTACATTCGGGAGATACTCCGTTTGACTTCGTATTCCCACAGTTATGTTAGTGCCTGTGTCTTTGCAGTTTCCAAGAGGTTAGGGAAAACTCGAGACTGGATTGTCGCCCTCAAATGTTTGATGCTTATTCACCGCCTGCTCAACGATGGTGACACAGGATTTCAACAGGAAATCTTGTATGCCAAGAGGAGAGGCACACGACTGTTGAATTTGTCTGATTTTAGGGATGAGGCGCATTCGAACTCATGGGACCAATCTGCTTTTGTCAGAACTTATGCCTTATATTTGGATCAAAGATTAGAGGCAATTCTATTTGAAAGGAATGGAAATGGGGGAGAGATTGAAAGATATAGGCCATATGAAGATCAGCAACAGAGATCACCCATTGACTCAAATAAGGTTTATTATGAGATGAAGAGATCAAGATCATCTGGGGATGTTATGGTTTCAAGTCAAGATATGAAGGACGTCACTCCATTGAGAGAGATGAAGCCTGAAAGAATATTTGGAAAAATGAGTCACTTGCAGAGGTTATTAGATCGGTTCTTATCATGTCGACCAACGGGGTTGGCTAAGAACGAAAGGATGATTTTGGTGGCAATGTATGCTATGCTGAAGGAAAGTTTCAAGCTGTATTCAGATATGTGCGAGGTCTTAGCTGTGTTATTGGATAGATTTTTTGACATGGAGTATCAAAATTGTGTTAAGGCCTTCGATGCTTATGCTAATGCAGCTAAGCAGATCGATGAGCTTGCTGGGTTCTATAATTGGAGTAAGGACATTGGCCTAGCAAGATCTTCAGAGTATCCAGAAGTGCAAAGAATTACCAGCAAGTTATTGGATACCTTGGAGCAGTTTTTGAGGGATAGGGCGGCTCTTACAAAAAGCCCTGAAAAAAAGGTGGAGAGTCAGCCAGAAGTAACCAAGGAAGAGCCAACTCCTGATATGAATGATATCAAGGCCTTACCTCCACCTGAAAACTATACTCCTCCTCCTCCTCCACCGGAGCCTGAACCCTCTAATGCTATTGTTAATCAGGAAAGCATAGATCTTTTGGTAGATTTGAGAGATGATGGGATATCTGCAGATGATCAGGGCAACCAATTGGCATTGGCATTGTTTGCCAAGCCTGATCGACAAGATGGTGAGCAAGAGGTGACATCTGCTTGGCAGAACCCGGCAGCTGAGTGTGGTAAAGCAGACTGGGAGCTGGCTTTAGTGGAGTCGGCAAGTAATCTGTCCAATCAGAAATCTGCAATGGGGGGTGGGCTTGATCCATTACTGCTCAACGGAATGTATGATCAGGGGATAGTGAGGCAACATGTGAGTACAGTCGGGTTGACTGGTGGAAGTGCTAGCAGTGTTGCACTGCCTGGACCAGGGAAGAGTGAAACACGAGTATTGGCACTTCCAGCACCCGATGGAAACGTCCAGACAGTTGGGCAGGACCCATTTTCTGCTTCTTTGAGTGTTCCGCCACCTTCTTATGTACAAATAGCAGACTTGGAGAAGAAGCAGCAGTTTATGGCGCATGAGCAAATGATGTGGCAGCGGTATGCGAGTGATGGGATGCACGGCCAAGCTTGTTTGGCTAGGATCAGCACTGGTGCGTATTATACACCTGGCCCAGGCCAACCATCAGTTTTGCCTTATGGATTGCCACTGGGAAACGGGATGGGAATGCCAGCTTTAGGGTACCAATACATCCCTTATTGATTTTGTTGTCCCATGTTTTCACAGTTTTTTTAGTTTTTGGTTTTCCGCAACTGGCATTGTCATTGGATACTTTTCCACTGTATTTAGTGTAAGTAGGCCAATAAGCGTAGAGGACAGAAGATGAGAGATTTGCTCCATGCATGATGCATGCTAAGTAGTGCTTCTTTCTGTTCTGTTATATTTTGGGTTATGTTTATATTTTTGTCTTTGTGTTTTGTGAAGCTTATTCTATAACATGTATCTGAGTCCAATGGTATTTAATAAAGTTTGCTTGACACAATATCTGGATAAAAAACTGTATCTTACTTCTGTACTTTGTGTATTTTATAAAACTTACGGAGTATTTTTTTAATTCTATTAAAGTTATCATATCTAGTTTATAAACTTTATATGAGAAATAATTATGTCTGATGAGATAACATTCATTTTGTGACTTCATACTCACTAGTCACTTAAGAATATCACCTAAATGACTTCTTACTCACTAATCACTTAAAAATATCACCTAAATGACTTCTTACTCACTAGTCACTTAAGAATATCACCTAAATGACTTCATACTCACCAGTCACTTAAAGAATATCACCTAAATGACCTCTTACTCACTAGTCACTTAAGGATATCACCTGTCGGGGTGTCCGGGGTCAAATGCATAAATATAATGGTGCCTTAAATGTTGCTATTATTGCGTTTTGGTACCTTAACTTCTAAATGAATCAAATCAGTACTTTAACTATACGTAAATGTTTCGGTTGACAATATTATTCAAATGTGCAAAATCCTACATGACAATCAAAATTCCATGTGCAGAGTCCACCTACAACGATGACATGGACAAAAGTTAGGCAAAGTGCATCTTACGTACTCCCTCCATATTTTTTTGTTTGCTACACTTTCCTTTTTTGGATGTATTCAAAAATTTGCTACACTTTCCTTTTTTGGTAAGTTTTTTCTTTAAAAATACTCAACTACTCTTCCTTTTTTCTATTTTTTATCTTCTCTTTCATACTTTTCTACAAACTCTCTTACCTTTTCTACACTATTCATTACCCCTATTGTAGCAAACATAAAATACGGAGGGAGTATGTATTTATGGCCGTCACATATGATTTTTTTTGCCAGAAATTTCAATAATATTGTAAATTGAAACATTTATGTATAGTTATGACACTGATTTGATTCATTTAAAATTTAAGATACCAAAACGCTACGATACCCATAATTAAGGTATCATTTATGCACTTCACCCCTATTGGGACACTAAAACTACATTCTACTCCCCTCTCATGTCACTTTAATTTGTTGATATCCTAACTGAATTTTTTCTATTTTATTTAGGGAAGTGTGTAGTGTAACTCCATTCTAAATATTCAATCCGTAAACGACGATGACGAACTTTTTTATTTATTTTGTTCTTATGGCTTACAACTAGATTCAGTGGCGGAGTCAGAAGTCTATGGTTAAAGAGGCCGGTCCTTAAGAATTTTACATTGCAGGAGGCAAAGTTTAAAATATTAACATATTTTCTATAGATTAATAGTATTTATACATAATAATATATACTTCAAATTTTATTTCTTGCACGGGTCGAGGCCTCCTCCAACCCCTCCCTGTCTCCACCCTGGCTAGACTCTAGGCTGTTCATGGTGACATGCATGAAAGGATAAGATTAACGTCATTAGAATGATAATGAATTCTGAGTGTAATTACGAATAATCTAGAATTTGGTCGCTCAACTAGCTTGGTGGAGGAATATTGGAAATTGATGAAGCAGCTTTGTCAATTAGAATAATGCTTCATGAAAACCACATGAGCATTATTTTTTGTTCATGAAATCCAATACTTCAAGACTTCAAGACCAGTCCCTATACCGTGTAACTGGTGCATGGTGGGAATCATGCTCCTCCCATGATATATGAAATGTAACTCGTGTGATTTCACATGTAACTTCAAGTTAATCAAAATGTAAATTACACTCATTCACATGTAATTTGTTGAAATGTAAACTGTTTTAATTGAAATGTAACTTAAAAACAAATTAGATATAACTTGAGATATGTAACTTTAGACTATTGAAATAAATGTAAAAATATGTGTATTAATTTATATACATATAAACCAATTACTCCATATGCATCGAAACCAATTACTCCATATGCATCGATCAACACAATGGAGATAAATACTCCATTCCATTATATACGGAGTATATATAAAAGAGCAGTAAACTTCCCTTCCCTGATTCTTTTCACAAAATCAAAGAGCACTATTATAGATTTAGATTCAAAGAGCACTATTCTTCAGCAACTAACAGAGCTTTCTCTTCGGGACTGAGGGTGTCGATTCATGATTCAAAGAAGCGAATCGAGATTTTTTTTATTGGTTGGGGAACGACGACGTTTAGTGGACCGGTATACCCTGCGCATGGTATTCTGGTCATAGGGTATAATTTGCGCTTCAAGACCCTCTCCTAGATATAGTATGATAGGTTATGGGATTTAGACTCGTGAGTCCTACCCACGATCCATACCGGCGAGCCCAAATCCTAGATGAGTACTTAAGGAGTTTAGATCGGTCCAATCAACTAAACCAATGAGGAAACAAGACCAAACTTAAATTTAATTAACAGACCAAACAAGATGAGACTATTTCAGTCAATGTGAAAACATCCTTAATTAATCTCACATGATATCACAACGAGATTTTTCCAAAGCTAAATTTATTTTTTACTCTAAAAGAAACCGTCATTATTAGTTAAATGTACTTTGTTTTCATGTAATATATAAAAGATGACAAGTTTGCATTGCATACACAATACTCTTTACATCAACTCTATCTTGTTAAAACATGGCATGTCTTATGCGCTCTTATAAAGTTGATGATATGTGGTAATGTTTGTGTTTCTTGGCTTGTCAACAATTTTAATCAGCACATTCGCGACAATTACATTCAGATTGACTACCTTTTGGAGAATTTGAATTCTTTATTTCCAATGACTAGAGAGTTCTAGAAGGAGAAAGATAGAGGCGAGAGATTAGAGTCGAGTATGTGGATGAGTAAGATAGAGAAAAGGGTATAAAGAAACAAGAAAAAAAAGGAAAGGAATGAAAAATGAGGAGTTGGACTCCCTTTTGTACTTACCGATCGTCTATAACTCCCAAATATCTTCATGGAAAAGTTTTCTTATCAATTCACCATTAGTTTGAGTTTTGAGTGAGAGCAATTTGTTCATAGTTCCTATACATATGTACGTATTTCGTAATTTGTACTCTTAAAATCATTACAAATATATCTAGTCTAATGACCTTGGGAATTACTCTTACACATATGTACGAAACACTGCCCCTAGGCCCTAACTACATAACAACCTATAGTTAACCATAATAACAAAAACTGGCAAGGAATAAAATTAATTACGATTGAAAAGAACAATAAAATAAAAATATATATTGGCGAAAATAATTAAATAAATAAATAAATAAATTAATAGATAGATAGGACCCGGGGTACTGTGTTGGACGTAATGGACGTCTTGCATGGGTCGTGAGGTGGCTCAATTGAAGATGACGAGGTGTCTGGGGTTTTCGGTGAGCTGGATGATTGGTTTCTGGATGAGGATAAAGTTTCATTATTGGAGGGAGTGTGGCTTGTCGGTGTATGTGGTGTATGTGGGGTTTGTGGAATTGGCTTAAAAGGGTTGGTGAGATCAGAATCATCATCTGAAGGTATGGGATCGGTTCCAATATGGGTTCCAGTGGATAAAGAGGATGTGTGGTCAGAATCCAAGCCAGTAGAATCGTGATAAGGAAAATTGGTTTCAAAAAAGTGTACATCCCGAGAAACAAAATGGCGTTTGTTCTTGAGATCGTATACTTTCCATCCCTTTTGGGAATGAGCATATCCAAGAAATACACACTTCACGCTACGAGGAGAAAATTTGTCACCAGTACGATCCTTAGTATAGGCATAACATAGGCACCCAAAAACACGTAGATCCGTATAACGGGGTAATTTCCCAAATAAAAGCTCATAAGGGGTTTTATTGTCAATCACCGGAATTGGCAAGCGATTAATCAAATAACCAGCCGCTATTATACATTCCCCCCAAAAGTCCAAAGGTAAATTGGCATGAAACCGCAGGGCCCTAGCGACCTCAAGAATATGCCTATGTTTACGTTCCACCCGGCCATTTTGTTGCAGAGTATAAACACATGAGGTTTGAAAAATTATTCCTTGATCCAAAAAATAATTTTTCAAGGCACAAAATTCTTTACCATTATCACTACGCACCACACGCACATCCTTTTGAAATTGGCGTTTGGTCATAGCAAAAAATTGTTTAAGTATTGTTCCAACCTCGGTCTTGTCCTGCATCAAATGCACCCATACCGCCCGAGTGTAATCGTCCACAATAGTCAAAAAATAACGGGCTCCACAAGAGGAAGGAAAACGGTAAGGACCCCATACATCACAATGGATTAATTCAAAACAATCACTAGCTCTGGCAGAATTTATTCCAAATACATCTCTAGTTTTCTTGGCCCGTAAACAAGCATCACAAGGTTTATTTTGCAAATTAATAGAAGAAATCACAGTATTAGAACTAGATATTTTACGTAAAACTGATGGTGAAGGATGGCCGAGCCTTGCATGCCAAATCTCACTTTTATTTTCTTCTCCTACTGCTAGAGCCAGAGCTTCCTCAATACTGTGAAAATAGTACACTCCCCCGCGGCGTCTACCCACTCCAATCGGCATCCTCGTAGGCAGGTCCTGTATTTCACAAACCTGATTAGTAAACAATATAATGCATTTCAAATCATCAATTAAACGTGCCACAGAAATAAGATTGCACATAAGTCCTGGTACAAAGAGAACATTATGCAAAATAATTTTGTGACTCAAAATAATCTGGCCTCGTAAGGTTGCATAGGTCACGTCTCCATTTGGCAGAGTCACGGGAGTAGATGGAATTGACTCCTTTGACTGGAAAAATCGTGCATCTCCGGTCATATGGTATGAAACTCCCGAGTCGAGTAACCATTCAATCTGTGCATTCATACCTGTTAATTTTTCAGCCGACACTGACGATGCTTTGCACGTTTCCATGAGCTGCAGAAAACCTCTCCACTGCTCATCACTGAAGCACGAAGGCTGACTGATGTTCGAGGCTTGTGTCCCCACCTGAGACACGTTGGACCCAGGCGACTCATCAAAACAAACAGCATTCGCCACAGCTTTGCCACGCCCCCGTCCAGCACCCCGGCCACGTCCTCCTCGTCCCTTCCCCGGATTATCATACCACCAGTCCGGATATTTTCCGGTGCGCTTAAAGCATTGGTCAATCTCATGGCCGGGCTTCTTACAGAAAGTGCAAACGACCTTCTGTTCAGAACGTACAGGAAACGAACTAGGTCCAGTTGCAAATGCCACAGCATCAGTCCGCTCTTCTCGCCCTCGCATCATATTTCTATGACGCTCTTCTTGCGTGAACATGTTATACAGTTTAGTCAAAGCTGGCAAATCCTCTTGACTTAAGATATTTGAACGTAAGGTTCCAAATATTTCCGTATCTAAACCAAGCAAGAAATCATGGCCCTTTTCGTTTTCTATTTGCTTAGCAAATTGCCTTGCCAGATCACATGTGCACCTGGTGCACACACATTTGGGTGCCACCCGGTACTCATCATATTCATCCCAAAGGGTTTTTAGCCGGCCGTAATACACCGAAATTGAATCTCCGTTCTGCCTACACCCTCGTATCATATCTTTGAGTTCGTAGATCCGCATGGAATCGCCAATTGCAAACCTCGCCTTCAAGTCGTCCCACAGATCGTGTACGTCGTCCATGTAGGCGATATTCGATCGTAGGGATGAGTCAATTGCCGTCATAACCCATCCCACCAGCGTTGAATTAATGCTGATCCAGTCCTCAATGTCATCATTGTGTTCGGTCGGTCGGGTAATACTGCCATCCACGAAGCCGTTCTTCCGTTTAGCACGGAAGGCGTTTTTCATGGCAGTCGCCCATTGTCGGTAATTCCCTTCCCCTTTCAAGGTAAATCCGCAGATGTTCTGCCCCGGAGAATCCGAGCTTGACAAATAGTACGGGGATGTGGGATCGGTAATCTTCCGTCGTCGTGGTTCTTCATGCCCGGTGCCTGAGGAGATCGGTGTTCCATTGCCGGTCATGTTGTCAATCGGTGTTGGATGTACATAAAATTATTGTACATAATAATAATGTACGTAAGTCATGTGCATGGCTCCCATGCAAGACGTCCATTACGTCCAACATACTGGAAAAAAAAAGAAATTCCTACACATATTGAGATGACAATAAAACAAATATGGATAAGGTTTTATTTGAAAATGACAATTCAACAAATTGTATTGTGGATTTATGACATAGGATTAGTCGTTTTCCTCTCTTTTTTATTTTGTTTTGTTTTGTTATTAGTTTCTATTTTGTATCAATGACCTTGATTCCTTCATTCCTTGAATGTTAGTACTCGTATAAGACTTCATCTCTTAAGTTATTTTTAAATCTCAACGTTTTCTTTACACCATCAAATTAAATTTTAATATCCAAAATAGCTTTATTTTCATTTATGCTTATAATTTGGTAAACAATTTGATTTCTTATTCGCATAACAAGCTTATTTTCGTACGAGGGAGTTAAAGTTACAAATTTAAATGGAAGAGAAGAGCAATTTATTTAGCTCTTCTAAGCTTCTACTTCTTTCAGTCGAATAGACCGTGGTCCTTAAGTCATGGGCAACATCTTTTTTTTCCTAGAAGGGCACGTACAATAATTTGAAATATACATTTGCATTGACTAAAACAAGACAAGAGATCGCGTGGCCTAATGGATAAGGCGCTCGCCTCCGGAGCGGGAGATTGTGGGTTCGAGTCCCATCGTGATCGTACACGCCCATGAATTTATTTTTGCATAATAACCAGCAGTTCTTAATTGCTGGTCCTCAATATACGCAAGCTTCATTTTTAAATCAGATTATTATAATTATAATATTTTGTAAGTTACGTATTGTTTTTTTTAAATCGTAAAGCAGGCGGTTTATATTAAAATGGAGAATGCTTTCAAGACAGTCTTCAAACAGTTTTACAGATCCAATCGTGAACCATAAGAGTAGACATAGAATCAGTCACTTCATACAAAGCAACCAGACTCGTTAAACCTGAAACAGGCAAATTTAAGCCTAAAACGAACGGATCTGAAAACTCTGCCTATCAACAGAACTCGGACTAAAACAAAAACAAAAACTACTCGGACTAAAACAAAAACAAGTACTACTAAAGAGAAAATAATATTGAAATAAAATCTTTCCACAAAACTGTTCCTGGTATGGTGGTGGTTCCGGAGGGGGACGAGTTTTCAATATGGGTGAATACCAACTCCACCACCGCCGGAGCGGCCGATCAAGACTTCACGATCCAGCACTGATACAAACTCTCAACTACAATTTGTTTATCTGCCAACTTTATCTCCTTCGATATAGTAGCAACCACAAGCGTAAGAACACTTGCAATTAGAATAATCTGCCGCTCCAGCCCTATATTGATAGGAGCGGCGGAAAATCTCAACCCCTACAAAGATGGTAGACGGTCGCTAGGTTTTAAAGAGAAGCAAGAGCTCTCTAGGCAATTAATCAGTATGACTAAAATTCGAATAGGTACAAGAAGCTTTCTTGAGTTAAGTATTGTTGTTATTCCTCTCTATTATATATTCCGTTTCAAATTTGACTGTACATGGTTATATTTTGCAGCAAATATTGAGATTTTTAGAAGTTGTGAAGAGGTTGACAGTTCATTTTTCTTTAGAGTTCTTAACGTTGTAATGAAATAAAATTTGGAACACATACACACAAACTCATAACGTAGTTACAATCTTCCATACTAATAGCCTAATAGGTATAAACTAATACTAATATCACCCCAAGATACAATATGCAGATATGCAAAACTACATCATTTTTGCAAACTAAATTATTCAAAGCGGCCAAATTACTTCGCTAAGAGTTACACATCACCGGCTCCAAATTGCTTCCGATGCTACTACTTTTTGTTAATATTTGAGTGCACTTCTCTCGAGCCATTTAATTTGTGCTTTTGTAGCAAATCTTCACATGGTTTTTGTAACTTATTAATCATTATTCTGAGCAAATCGGGAATGACTTTCATCAATCTACCAGACTATCACATGTAGAAGGATCAAACAATTGCACGAAGCCACATGTCCTATTACCCTTTACACACACCCAATAACCGGCAATTTGTTAAAAATATAGAGTTTGCATTAACAAGCTAGAGGTAGGTAAAATCACTAAAATGAATTTAATCATTTTACCGGGACATGCCCACAATCTACGAACCACAAAATACTGGTTAAAATTTCATTTGTTAAAAAATTTGTTAAAATTCCATTTATTAAAAAATCATACATTACGATAAAAAAAAATCATACATTATGTTTAAAATTTCATCTAGGCATGAAAAGCATGAAAGTAATACAACTTTGAACAAAATAGTTGACTTGTAGATGCGGAATAATGGATTAGGAAATCTTGAAAGAAAAATTTAATTAACAAAGTTAAAGAAAGCTTACTTACTCAACTCATGTGTTGGCAGATTTTGAAAAGAAGATGAAGTTGGAGCAGTGTAGTTTATAGAGAAAAATTTGCAATTTCCGCCCCATAACTTTCTATCACTTTCATTAGTAGTCCTCTAACTTTATTCATTTGCAAATTTAGTCTAACTTTATTCATTTGCAAATTTAGTCCTTATAATTGTGATTTAAATACTTTTCCCCTACAAATTACACTTTCCAGCGATAGTATACTGGAAAAGATGTCGCTGGCGTCGGATTTCTTTTTCAGGAAGTGTACTTTCCGGTAAAAAAATCCTTGAATTGCAAAGATTTATTAGTTACACGACTAAATTTGCAAGTGATTTAAGTTACATGACCAATAATGATAACACACGGAAGTTACAGGATTAAAATTGTAATTAAATCTCTCGTGTATAGATAAGAAGAGGGAGAGTTATTTAAAACCAATTTCAATGAGGAAGAACTTCATGGAAAGAAGAAAATTAAAAAAAAAAATCGAAATAAGAGAAGTGAACCCTGATTTTTGCACGTAACTCTAGAGAATATTTGACAAAAAAAATGAATATTTGACAATGAAAAGGGATAAAGTGAAGCATAGTCTCATGAAGCGAATTGCGGAACATAGCGGAAACATAGTCTCATGAAGCGAATAGCGGAACTCCACAAACGAGTTAGAATGAGGAGGGATAAAGTGCAAAGAAGTTTGAGGATGTTTTTTAATTGAATCTGGGCCGTGCGAGCTATTCATTTAGATGTAGCTAGGTGTTTTAAGACCATTTTTTTCGAAGGCTTTAAGACCATTTTTAATCGCTCCAAATGTACGGAACAAGAATAACCCTCTTTAGCCATAATATGCAGATATTTCTGTTTATATTTCATTCATATGTCGTATATTAGAAACCTTCTGCCCAACAGACTCATCAGTCATCACCCTCAAAATTTAACATATACTACCTCCGTCCCCCTAAGTTTGGAACAAAGGAGTGTGATGTGGTTTTTAAGAAAAAGTAGAATGGTGTGATTGATATTGAATTAATAAAGTGTGAATAAAGTAAGAATGAATTGTAACCACTCAAATATTATCAAATATGGTATGAGACAAACTTAATAGGACGGACGAAAAAGGTAAAATAGGACAAGAGAGTAACTCATTTGAAATGACAGGACCTTATAAAAGAACACCCACAATTGCCCTTACCTTGTATTGTGAAGTAGCTGGTGGAAAAACTAATCATCATAATAACCAAGATCAAATAACATCACACAATTAATCATAATTGTAAATTTATAGGAACTTACTTGGAGAGTATCCAATGTTCATTTGGGAGAGATTGGAAGAAGATGATGCCATTGTTTCTCTTGAATGAAGTGGATGTGTAATCCCTTATAGGACAAAAGATAGATGGAGTACTTTTAAGAGTTGTGATGCTCTCCTCTTTATGGTGTTGTGTTTGTACGTATGACCAATAGTCACAACCTTTCATTTATTGTCCTAAAAGGTGTTACCACAATGGTACCCCTTAAGTATTATTTCCATCAAATAATACATACATACATATATATATATATATATAATACATAAATATAGAACACATATTAATATTGGTCTTAGGCCATATTAATTGGAAATATTCCAACATTCTCCCACTTGGCCTAGTGACCAATAATCGTTAAGTTGGCCAAGCATGTGTTCTAAATACCCAATATTTATACTATAATAGAGAAGTACAGCCACTCGCATCTATTTAGATACGGGACCCCCATTAATCATACTATAGCACATGTATTAGGACATTAAGGTCATTAAACATAAATCATCAAATGTAATGTGGTTGTCAATATTAATTTGTCCATGATACCAAAGTTAGTGCGCACGGTATACATATAATAGACAATTAAGAATTCAAGTATTTAATTATATACATGAATTGTTCATAAGAGCACTATGCCAATTAAGTGAGGTTTCGACTAAAACCCATTTTCATCACATGTTCTTGAAAAATCTTGGGTGGTAGACCTTTTGTCATCGGATCCGCAAGCATATCATGAGTGCTAATGTACTCGATAGAAAGATTATTTTCTTCAACTCGTTCACGTACAAACAAGAACTTTGTATCAAGATATAATCCAGCCCCGCTCGAACTATTACCATTTGAAAAGCTCACGGCGGCAGAATTATCACAGTAAATCTTCAGCGGTCTTGAAATGGAGTTAACTATTTTGAGTCCCTTGATCAAATTCCTCAATAACATTCCATGACATGTTGCGTTATAAACAACAACATATTCAGCCATCATAGTAGAGGTAGTGGTCAATTGTTGTTTATGACTCCTCCATGAAATGGGCCCGCCTGCCATCATAAAAATGTATCCCGACGTCGATTTTCTATCGTCTTTGCATTTAGCGAAATCGGAGTCGGAATATCCCGTTACTTCTAAATCGTTTGTTCCTTTATAAGTCAGTTTGTAATCCTTAGTCCCCTGAAGATATCGTAAGACCTTCTTAGCAGCCTTCCAATGATCAAGGCCAGGATTATGCTGATATCGGCCTAACATACCGGATATGTAAGTGATATCGGGACGAGTACAAACTTGAGCATACATCAAACTTCCAACTATGGATGCGTAAGGAATCAACCTCATTTGATCCTTTTCTAATTCCGTTTTTGGACATTGAAATGAGCCAAAAACATCTCCTTTAACAACGGGAGCAACTGAGGGAAAACAATGTTGCATATTAAAGCGTGCGAGTATACGTTCCACGTATGCCTTTTGAGACAGTCCTAATGTCCTATTGGCCCGATCTCGGTGAATTTCGATGCCCATAACATAAGAGGCCTCTCCGAGATCTTTCATGTCAAAGTGTCGTGAAAGTAATCGTTTTGACTCATGCAACAAATCGACACTGTTACTTGCCAAGAGGATATCATCAACGTAAAGAACGAGTATCGCAAAATTGCTCCCACTCATTTTGAGGTAGATACACTGATCCACTTGATTTTTATAGAAGTCATTCTTTTTCATGACTTCATCAAATTTTAGATACCACTGGCGTGATGCTTGTTTTAGCCCATATATTGATTTCTTAAGTTTGCACACCAGATGTTCTTGACCCTTAGTCGTAAAACCTTCCGGTTGAGTCATATATACATCTTCATGTAAATCATCATTAAGAAAAGCAGTCTTAACATCCATTTGATGTAGCTCTAAGTCGAAATGAGCTACTAAGGCCATAACAATCCTTAGGGAATCTTTTCTTGAAACAGGAGAGAAAGTCTCCTTGTAATCAATTCCCTCCTTTTGGGTGTAGCCTTTGGCGACCAATCGCGCTTTGAAGCGCTCGACGTTTCCATTTGCATCTAATTTTTTTTGAAGACCCACTTGCATCCTACTGGTTTTACACCATTAGGCAATTCAACAAGTTCCCATACGTCATTTTTACTCATGGAATCAAGCTCGTCAATCATTGCTTCATTCCATTGAGTAGATTGGTCACTACAAAGGGACTCATTATAAGAGGTCGGATCATCACATTTTCCTAGATCGGCCTCATTAAGATAGATAACATAATCATCAAAATTAGTAGGCCGTCTAGATCTTTGTGATCTTCTCAATAGTGGTTCGGGCTCTTGAAGCTCAGTGATAACTTCGGGGATTTGCCCAGCTTGAGATATTTCATTATTTTCCTCAAAAGCTGATGTTTCTTCATTTTGTGGCACATAGGGAGCAGCATTACCTTCGACAGATGAACTTGGCAGGGTAATATTGTCTACAAGAGGTACAAGAGGTTGAAAAGGTATAGAGAACATTCCTCCCTCCTCTTGCACTTCTTCTTGTAATTCAACATCATCAATACACTTGCTCCCACTAATGTTTGAGTTCTCTAGGAACTCAGCATGTCGAGTCTCAACAATGCGAGTAGTGTGAGACGGGCAATAAAATCGATACCCCTTTGAGCGTTCAGGGTATCCTATAAAGGAGCAACTGACGGTTTTCATGTCGAGCTTCCTTTGTTGGGGATTATAAAGCTTGGCTTCAGCCGGGCAGCCCCATAGTTTCATATACCTAAGGCTCGGTTTCCTTCCTGTCCAGATTTCATAAGGGGTTTTAGGAACAGATTTAGAAGGAACCCTATTGAGTATATGAACTGCCGTTTTTAAGGCCTCGGTCCATAGAAACTTAGGTAGGCTTGTATTGGCTAACATACTTCGTACCATGTCCATAAGGGTCCTATTTCTTCTCTCAGCGACACCGTTTTGCTGAAGAGTGCCCGGCATGGTAAATTGATTCACGATCCCATGTTCCTTACAAAATTCATAGAAGGGTCCGGGAGCTTTACCTATATCAGTATGTCTACCATAATACTCGCCTCCTCTATTTGATCTTACTACCTTTATCTTACGGTCGAGTTGATTCTCATCCTCGGCCTTAAAGGTTTTGAACATTTCAAGTGCATCAGATTTTTCATTGATTAAGTACAAATACATATATCGGGAATAATCATCTATGAAAGTGATAAATGACTTATGTCCAGTTATCCCGGTGGGAAAAGGACCACAAATGTCAGTATGAATTAATTCCAGTAAACCGGAACTCCTTGTGGCTCCTCTTTTATTTCCCTTTGCCATTTTCCCTTTAAGGCATTTTACACATGTTTCAAAATCACTAAAATCGAGAGATGGTAATATTCCATCCTTCACGAGCCTTAGCATTCGATTCCGTGAAATGTGGCCTAAACGTTGATGCCACAACATGGATGAATCTTCCAAGTCTCGTTTTCTTTTTATTGGATTTTCATTGATATTATATGACAACAAGGATTTCGAAAATGTATCATCCAAGCATAATATTGTCTTCTAAGCAACCATAACCAACAACATCGGAATCTTTACATATAGTAACTTTACCATTATTAAAAGTTAATACATAGCCATTATTGTTTAACTTAGGTACAGATACTAAATTCTGAGTAATGCTCGGTACATATAATGTGTCATATAAATACATGCAGAAGCCACCTTCCAATACTAAAGGTAAGGTACCAACAGCTTCAACATTAAGGTCTTCACCATTCCCGATTTTAATGGTCCTTTGGTTTCTTTCCAACCTCCGGATTGAATGGAATCCCTGTAAGGAGTTTGTAACATGAACCATGGAACCAGAATCAATCCACCATGTGTTTATTGGAACACTTATATTAAAGGACTCATAAATCATAAATAGATGTGTACCTTTCTTGGCTAACCATTCCTTGAACTTAGAGCACTCTCGTTGAAAATGCCCTTTCTTATGGCAAAATTTACAAGGGAAAGTTCCCGAAATGGGACTAAAATAGTTTGAAAATTCCAAAATAGGACTGTCATGTTTTTATTCTCAACATAGGAGTAATTACTGTCAAGTTTGGAAAATACTGTCATGTTTTAAGTCTGGTACTGCCAAAACATGACAGTAATTAGTCCTATTTTGGGAATAAAAACATGACAGTCCCATGTTTGGAATTTTCAAACCTATTTAGTCCCATTTCGGGTAATATCTCAATTTACAACGAGGAGGACCCTTGGCATTGGTTGAGCCTGCGAGCGCACTTGTACCAGTGTTGTGGACCTTTGAGCTTTCACCAGTCTTGAATTTGCCCTTTCTCTTGCTAGTGTTTGTGGTTGTGAGATGAGCGACATCAGGCCTTTCCACTTTGAGGCGCTCCTCCTCTTGTACACACATTGCAATTAACTCACTCATTTTCCATTTTTCCTTTTGAGTGTTATAGTTAATTTTAAAAGGACCAAATTGTGCGGGCAAGGAGGTCATAATGAAGTGGACTAAGAAGCCCTCACTAATCTCCATATCCATGCACTTAAGTTTGTTAGCCATGTCACTCGTCATCATAATGTGCTCACGCACACCACTCACACCATCATATTTCTTTGTCAACATTTGCAAGATTAATGTACTCGCATGAGCCTTGGAGGTGCCCTTGAATTGCTCCTCTACGGAGTCCAAGTAAGTTTTCGCATTATCCGAATCTGGAATGGCTCCACGAATGGCAACCGAAATGGAATTCTTTATGATCATAAGAGACATGCGATTTGATCTCTCCCACTGTTCATGCACTCGTTTATGCTCTTGAGTACTTTCAGCAGTGAGTGCAACAGGAGGATCATGTCCTAGGGCATAATCAAGATCCATAACTCCAAGAGTCAGTCTTACATTGTCTCTCCATAATGCAAAGTTAGTGCCAGTTAAGGGTTCAATCCCACAATTTGATGTTAAAGTGGCTGTTGGAGAGTTATAAAATTTAAGTGTATGCAATAACGATTGAACGAGAGAAAATTAAAAATGACAATTTAACATAAAGTATGTCAGTAAACATTATCTATTATCAACACCGAAATAATAGATTCTAAAATGTCTTGTTTAATTATTGGTTTCGCTTTGGCTAATTCTAATAATTAAACTTAATGACATTATAATCATTATAATTTACATCCCACATCACCTTTGGGCAGAAATGTGATGTCTATGTTCATAAAGTCAATACTACAATCATATGTACCATTAAACAACTAGCCGTTGGGTTCATTGTATAATGTTACACGTAATTTGCACAAAATTCCAAATTAGAGCATGCGATCTTATTTTCTATAAAATTGATTCGAGAACATAAAAGGGGTGCAAAAATTATCCAAGTCAACTTAAATGTCTTCCGTTGGGCCGACAATTTAAGTTAATTTTTTATTGGATTCGAATCAATTTATAAAGAATATACAAAATCATATTACCGTAATAACATGTTATGTTAACAAATGTCCTTGGCAATAATAATATACTCGAAGTAGTGCATAACTTTTCACTTGTGAATTTATTGTGATAGGAGCAAAATATATCACAGATCAACTTTGTAAGGGACAGATGTCGATTAACATGTCAACACGCATGCAGGCCTAACGACAACTTAATAGTATACTCCACATATAAGAAAACTTCATAAAATTATACGTAAATACAAGTATAATAGTTATACTGCGTGATGATTTCAAATTAATTGCAATCACATCTTCCATTTACGTTGTCACGCCCCGGACCGCATCCGTGCCACGTAGACAACCGCCGTACAACCCAATAAGAACAACGTAGTTCATTCTTATTGAATCATACAAGGCGTCCGTTGAGCTCTATTGCCAAACCGATTAGTAAACCCATACAATCAACATCAATATATATTAGTCAACGAATGCGGAAAATAAGATATGTTTGATACTTAGCCACACGTGGCAAATACGGACACGCAGGCCCCTCAAATGTTTTAATGGAAAACATTGTTAAAAACATCCATGAGCAGTTTATAAACTTTGAATAAGAATGGAAGCACGAACCACGTCTTCCTCTTTGATCAATCACCCTTGGCGAAGGTGCAGGTAGTAGGACTCTAGCCTCAACCTGAAAAATGTGAGGGCCCCCGAAGGGGTCAGTACTCCATAGAAGTACTAGTGACAAGCAGGCTATATGAGGAATAACTAATGTTTCAGACACGAGACCCAAAAATAGGGTGATACATATGCTTATAGGTGTAACCATTGTTACCCCATTCCCAAGATAATACATAATGTATATACTTGTAAAATACTTGACCCGTAGGTCGTTTTATCACAAAGAGTCTTTTAGAGATAAGGTACTTTCCCAACCTATCCCCTTTCCATTCCTGAATGCCTAGCTTGAGAGCTACATTCTACCTTCATAATATCCTACCGAGTTTCAGGAGGGTTTACCGTCCCGGGGATACTCAACCCCAACCGAGTTTTGGGATCATTTACCGTCCCGAGGATACTCAACCTCAACCGAGTTTTTAGGATTGTTTACCGTCCTGAGGATACTCAACCTCAACCGAGTTTTTAGGATTGTTTACCGTCCTGAGGATACTCAACCTCACCGAGTTTTAGGATTGTTTACCGTCCTGAGGATACTCAACCTCACCGAGTTTTAGGATTGTTTACCGTCCTGAGGATACTCAACCTCACCGAGTTTTAGGATTGTTTACCGTCCTGAGGATACTCAACCTCACCGAGTTTTAGGATTGTTTACCGTCCTGAGGATACTCAACCTCTCCGAGTTTTGGGATCATTTACCGTCCCGAGGATGCTCAACCTCAACCTTAATTCTAACCAAACCCTAACCTGGATATGGCTAACCTTGCATTCACTTAACTATGGACAATTCCTAGTCCTATAGTCATATAATAATCCTTAGTAACCAATGTGGACGGGTCCCACCTGATCGGTCCACGTTATCCTACTCAAAAGCTACCCGTTTTGAGTATAAACCAATACCCGGTCGGGTATCCACCTCACCCGGTCGGGTAGGGCCGGGCAGAAGCCCCTGGAACTAACTTTACTTGAGACCCGGTCGGGTCCCTGACCTTACCCGGTCGGGTCTAGTGTGGCAGTGGCTTCTGGAGCCGAATTTAATCAATACCCGGTCGGGTATCCATCTTACCCGGTCGGGTATCACCCTTGTCTCGGCGGTCAACGCCCGTTTGACCGCCCAAACGAAGTCCGATTAACGTGAAATTTTATATGCACATTCTACTTGAAGTCCTTGATCCAAAAATACCATTTTTGACCCCTGGATCATTGTGCATAATAAGTTATCACATTTTTAATCACCAAACATACAAACATGCCTTTCAACTTTGTTTTATATATATTCATGACATAAGCCCATACTTGATTAACTTTAATCATCCCATAAAACATATACTTGATTACTTTAGGTAATCTCATGCCTCAATCAAAAGTTATAAAGCATATAGCCGTCTTCTCACCTTAATGAAGCTTATAAAGTTCTAGCCTTTCCGATTTAGCCCCGGTGAAACTCCGGTGAACTTCAACGAACTCCGGTGACAACTCCGGCAACTCTTTCAACTCCGTGAAAGTCCTTGAAGCACCTTATACAAGTTAACAACAAGGTTTTATCATCATAAAACCCTCATCAACAAAAATAACCTCTAAAAGGTTATTTTCCGGTGAAACGGTCAACTTTGTTCTCTAAATCCGTTTTGGATAAGAACCAACCTTCCAACCATTTATTCTTCACATATAACATGTGGAATGATCCTAGGGGTATGAAATATGATTATATAATCATATTTGGAAGATTAGAGAAGAGGGATGAGATTAATGGAGTTATTACCTTGTTAATCCTCAAGTTTTCCTCCTTCTTCCTCTTCTCTTTCCCCTCCTTCTTCTCCTTAAGCTTTGGTTCGAATATGGTGGATGAAGATGATGATTTGCAGAGCTTCTCTCTCAAAAATGGATAGGTGAGTCGAGTGGGTGAGATGTGGGGGTGATGGAGGTTTCCTTTTTGGCTTATTAGCAATAATATGAGAGGAAGGTCCCCCTTTCCTTCTCATTTGTCTCCCAATCACCTCAGGCCTCACTCAGCAGCCTAGTGTGCGGCTCATCTTGCTGTTTGCAAGACTAAAAACGTGGGTTGGCCCCCACTTTGATGGGTGGTCATCCCTTTGCGTCCCCAAATGTACACTCGGTCCCGAAAGTTGTATTTTCCGGACTGTTTTAACTACATTTCATTTTATCGGGTAAAATGAAATATCTATCATTCTTCCACTCATTATTGGATATAAGAATGAATTTAGATTCACCAACTTTTAATTTAGCGGTCTCCATAATTTATTATGGCTTTTATCTGTCAGTACACCCGGTACCGATAAATGGGCTTTATTTGCACAACTGGCCAACACACATGGTTTATATGGCCAACATGGATATCCACCATCATATACATATTCTCTAGACCCAGATGAATATAATATGTGGTCCCGATAATATCGGGCGGCCCCCACTTCCGGTGTGGGCCCCACGCGAATTTTACTATTCACGTTAAAGAATGATAAAAATTGACAATCGCGTAACGATGCGTTTATTCATTTCTCATGGTTCAATACATGACTTGATAAAGTACAAATACTTGGGGGCGGTGTTACAAGTTCTACCCCCCTTATTTGGGATTTCGTCCCCGAAATCCACGTGTCTAGTCAAACAAAAATGGATACTGTTCCCTCATTAGGGTCTCCACTTCCCAAGTTTGCTCCTCGACACGATCACTCTTCCAAAGTACCTTTACCATCGGTACCTCTTTACTCCTTAGCTTCTTTACCTGTCGGTCCATGATCTTTACCGGTTGCACTGCATAGTGTAGATCTTCTCGGATTTCTACCGGTGGTTTCTCAAGAATATGTGACGGGTCCCGTACATACTTCTTGAGCATGGAAACATGAAATACATTATGGATCTTTTCCAATTCTGGAGTTAATTGAAGTCGGTACGCTACAGCCCCAATCCTTTCAATGATTTTGAATGGGCCGATGTAACGTGGGTTGAGTTTACCCCGACTGAGGAACCTGATGATCCCTTTCCAAGGTGACACCCTCAGAAACACCTCATCGCCAACCTCAAACTCCAACGTCCTCCGGCGTTTATCTGCATAGCTCTTCTGTCGATCTTGGGCAGCCTTCAGTCTCTCCTGAATAACCTTCACCTTCTCCTTGGTGATCTCAACTAGTTCAGTACCCTCAAGCTTGGCCTCGCCAACCTCATCCCAACACAAAGGTGTCCGACATTTCCTCCCATACAATGCCTCGTATGGAGGCATGCCTATACTTGCCTGATAACTGTTGTTATAGGCGAATTCCACCAATGCCAACTGGTTGTCCCAACTTCCTTGGAACTCCAAGGCACATGCCCTCAACATGTCCTCCAAAATCTGAATCACCCGTTCAGATTGCCCATCCGTTTGAGGATGGAATGCCGTGCTAAACCTCAACTTTGTTCCCATGGATTCCTGGAACTTAGGCCAAAACCGTGATGTGAACCGTGGGTCTCTATCCGATACTATCGTAACCGGAACCCCATGCAGTCTCACGATCTCATCTGTGTACAACTTGGCCAGCCGCTCAAGCGTATAAGTAGTGTTAATAGGCAGGAAATGAGCACTTTTGGTCAACCTATCAACCACCACCCATACCGCATCATAGTTTCTAACAGTCCGTGGTAGACCTACCACGAAGTCCATGGTAACATGTTCCCACTTCCATTCTGGAATGGTAAGCGGCTGTAATAACCCCGCCGGGTGCTGGTGCTCCGCCTTAACCTGCTGACAGGTAAGACAGCGGCTCACAAATTCTGCAATCTCTCTCTTCATCCCCGACCACCAGTAACTTTCTTTCAAGTCCCGATACATCTTTGTACCACCTGGGTGCATGGCATACGCAGATGAGTGGGCCTCCTCAAGGATAGATTTACGGAGCTCCCCATCTGATGGCACACACACCCGTTCCTTGAACAGTAAGAGTCCATCCTCTCTCTCCCGGAAACCCTCGACGGGTCCCACCAGCATTCGTTCCCGGATTTTCTGAATTTCCTCATCATTGCCTTGACGCGTCCTGATTTCATCTAATAAGGTGGGTCTCACCTCAAATCTGGCCAATAAAGCCCCATTCGTGGATACTTCCACGTGCGCCCTCAATGCTCGTAAGCATGTGAGTAAAACCCCTGATGAGCTTTTCCTACTGAGAGCATCAGCAACCACGTTAGCCTTACCCGGATGGTAATCAATAATCAAGTTGTAATCCTTGATTAACTCCATCCATCTTCTTTGCCTCATGTTCAACTCTTTCTGAGTGAACACGTACTTCAAACTCTTGTGATCAGTATAGATGTGACACACCTCACCGTAGAGGTAATGCCTCCAAATCTTCAAAGCAAACACCACTGCTCCTAGCTCAAGGTCATGAGTGGGGTAATTCACTTCATGCTTCCTCAATTGCCGAGAAGCATAAGCAATTACCTTACCTGATTGCATCAGCACGCACCCAAGCCCCTGGATGCTAGCATCGCTATAAATGTCATACCCTAACCCCTGCACGGGTAGAGCAAGCACTGGCGCTTCGGTCAACCGTTTCTTTAGCTCAAGAAACCCCTTCTCACACTTGTCATCCCACACAAACTTAGCTCCCTTTTTAGTGAGCTTCGTGAGTGGAGATGCTATCACAGAGAACTTCTCCACGAATTTGCGGTAATACCCCGCTAGACCAAGGAAACTCCTTATCTCCTTCACATTCTTGGGCCTCTCCCAATTAGTGACTGCTTCAATCTTTGAGTTATCAACTGAAATGCCCGAGCCCGATACCACATGCCCGAGAAATCCGATCTCCCCAAGCCAAAATTCACATTTAGAGAATTTGGCAAAGAGTTGCTTCTCCCGCAGTGTTTCAAGCACGAGCCTTAGATGTTTCTCGTGTTCCTCTTCGTTCTTGGAGTATATCAAAATGTCATCAATGAACACTATGACGAATTGGTCCAAGTATTGATGAAATACTCGGTTCATGAGGTCCATGAACGCCGCGGGGGCATTTGTAAGCCCAAACGACATCACTAGGAACTCGTAGTGACCATACCTTGTACGGAATGCACTCTTGGGTATGTCACTCTCCTTGATCTTCAGTTGATGGTAGCCCGACCTCAAGTCGATCTTGGAGAACACGGTTGCCCCTCGTAATTGATCAAACAAGTCGTCAATCCTTGGCAAAGGGTATTTGTTCTTTACCGTGACCTTGTTCAATTGACGGTAGTCGATACACATTCTCATTGTACCATCCTTCTTCTTTACAAAGAGTACGGGTGCTCCCCATGGCGAATGACTCGGTCTAATGAATCCGTTATCTAGTAGCTCTTCCAATTGAACTTTCAACTCTTGAAGTTCAGCCGGTGCCATTCGGTACGGAGGAATTGAGATGGGTTTGGTGCCTGGTTCAACCTCGATCTCGAACTCAATCTCCCGATCGGGTGGGAGTCCCGGTAGCTCTTCAGGAAACACCTCCGGATACTCTCTCACCACCCTCACTTCTGTGAGACTCTTCCCCTTGCCTTCCTTGCCTATGACATAGGCTAAGTAAGCGGGACATCCCTTCCCCATCATACGCTTTGCTCTTATGGCCGATATGATGCAAGGATTGAATCTTTCTCTATCTCCCTTGAAACATAGAGTATTTCCCTCACCATCCTTGAGTTCTAACACCTTAGTGTAGCAATCCACTTTTGCATGGTGCTTTTCAAGCCAGTCCATGCCAAGTATGGCATCAAACTCAAGCATGGCTAACGGTACGAAGTCACCCTTTAGACAGTGCTCCCCTATCTCCACATCACATGAAGGATAGTAGTCATTTCGTTCAACGTCATCCCCTAGAGGCGTAGATACCAAAAGGGTTTGCATCATTGGTATTAAAGGTGTGCCTAACCCCACGGCAAACACCTCACTAACGAATGAACGTTGTGCTCCCGTATCGATAAGGATCCTCGCATCCCTTCCATTAATCTTTAACGTTCCTACAATTATAAGTCATGTAAGGTACCTTGCCTACCTAAATTGAACTGTAGGCCCCGAAAAAGTCCGTAATTTACAATATACAGCAATACCCGGTCGGGTACACCTTTGTACCCGGTCGGGTATCCAATCCAGAAGCCAGCGGGTATGGAAATTTGGTATACCCGGTCGGGTAACCTGTTGTACCCGGTCGGGTATCCGTTCCAGAAGCTTGCGGGTAAAAATTTTCATTCTGCCCGGTCGGGTAACCTTCGATACCCGGTCGGGTAATCGTTCCAGCGGGTTTACCAGGCCAAAATCTCAGTATACCCGGTCGGGTGACCTGCCTTACCCGGTCGGGTATCAGCCTGGTTTCGTTGAATTCCCCCCGATTCGACCCTAAGTCAGTTTGCAATTGACCCTTAGGACTTATATCTTTAGTATAAGCCTAGAAACATATAAAATTTTAGTATATTACCTGCAACGGAGTCCGGGTTTGCTCGCGCATCCGCCTCGGTCATTGCATACACTCGTGCCTGGGTCCTACCTTGGTTAACGGACGCGGCATTGCTTGCCGTAGGTCCGCCCCTTCCCGTGCCGCCCTGAGATGGTCCTGCACGACCCCTTCCAGACGTAGGTGCCTCCACAGCTCCCGATGGCCCACCTCCACTCAACATTGGGCAAGAGAGTTTGAGGTGGCTTGTGCTACCACACTTGTAGCACCGGGGTGGTTCATTGCACTTCCCGGAGTGATTCCTGTTACAGTTTGGACACCTTGGTGGCCTCACGCTCCCCGAGCTATGCCCTTGCCCTCCTGGGCCCTTACTCTTCTTTGTCGGTGGTTCCGGCGCCCTGAATGATCTTCCATTCCCGGCGTGATGTTTCCGAGAATGGTCTTGGGGTCCAGAATTTCCCCATCTTCTCTTCTTCGTCTCTTCGGCGTCTCTCTTCTTCCTTTCATTCCACTTGGCTTCCCCAAGTAGCCCCTGATCCACAATCTCACTAAAGGTCATGTGATGATTGTAGGTAGCCCGATCACGGATATCCAAGTGTAGGGTGTCCCAGAAGTGATTAGCCATACGGTTCTCATCCATGGCGTACTCGGGTATGTACCGTGCCAAGTCCCGGAACCTTTGTTCCAGTTGCCTCACCGAGCAATCCTCCTCCTGTACCAGGGTCATGTACTCCTTCCTCTTCTGGTTCTTTTCGAACTCTGAGTAGTACTGATTATAGAATTCTACTTCAAATTTCTCCCAGGTGGTCTCACCGTGGAACTTTCCCCCCACGCCTTCCCACCATACAGCAGCTACCCCCTCCAGTAGCCTGGTAGCAATCGTTAGCTTTATGTCAAGCCCGATCTGCATATCCCTAGCAGCCTCATTCAATTTCTTGATCCAGTCGGCAGCCACCGATATATCACCCTTGCCATCAAATGACTTACACCCCAAGGCCCTCGCCTCCTTGAGGTATTTGGAGATTCTTATACAGAAACCTCCCCCCTGTACCCCCTGTGTCGCCACAGGAATGGCCACTGAAGCCCCCCGGCTTCCCTGACCCGAACCTCCCTGAGAGGCACGCCTAGCTTGGCGCCTAAGATCTCTCCTCAGCTTTTCCTTTTGATACCACTCAAACAATTCACCCATCTGGGCGAATTTGGCATCACTCTCATCATTGTCATCATCAGTGTACGTATCACCCCCATCATATGGGGTCTCCTCATGTTCCGTCTCGGGAACATATGTTGAGTCATAATCCTCGGTGTGAGTCCCATGCACCGAGCTAACATGGCCATCGCTCACGGTTTGAGCCTGATGACCTCCACGGCTTCCACGGCCTCCACGGCCTCCACGGCCTCTCCTACCGCCTCTCGCACCCCGAGATGCAACCTGGCTGGCCCCTACGGACGTCGCCTGAGTTTGCCCTCTCGGGTTGTTCCTCGTAGCCATGTGTCTACCCTCCATTTCTGAAAGAAATTTGGAATTAGTCGTTAGACTCGTATCAATGTCAATTGACGGAATAGTACAAAAGGCACCACTTGGTCCAACATTATGGCCAACAAACTGTTAAGGGTACCGTCTTAACAATAAGAGGTCAATAACTTGGTTTCCAACGGTTCCTTAAGTACAAAAACCTTTGCTCATGGTTTTGTTCAAAACTTTTGATGGTACTATATTGAGAGGTTAATTATATAGTTTAGAAATCGATGGCTCTGATACCACTTAATTGTCACGCCCCGGACCGCATCCGTGCCACGTAGACAACCGCCGTACAACCCAATAAGAACAACGTAGTTCATTCTTATTGAATCATACAAGGCGTCCGTTGAGCTCTATTGACAAACCGATTAGTAAACCCATACAATCAACATCAATATATATTAGTCAACGAATGCGGAAAATAAGATATGTTTGATACTTAGCCACACGTGGCAAATACGGACACGCAGGCCCCTCAAATGTTTTAATGGAAAACATTGTTAAAAACATCCATGAGCAGTTTATAAACTTTGAATAAGAATGGAAGCACGAACCACGTCTTCCTCTTTGATCAATCACCCTTGGCGAAGGTGCAGGTAGTAGGACTCTAGCCTCAACCTGAAAAATGTGAGGGCCCCCGAAGGGGTCAGTACTCCATAGAAGTACTAGTGACAAGCAGGCTATATGAGGAATAACTAATGTTTCAGACACGAGACCCAAAAATAGGGTGATACATATGCTTATAGGTGTAACCATTGTTACCCCATTCCCAAGATAATACATAATGTATATACTTGTAAAATACTTGACCCGTAGGTCGTTTTATCACAAAGAGTCTTTTAGAGATAAGGTACTTTCCCAACCTATCCCCTTTCCATTCCTGAATGCCTAGCTTGAGAGCTACATTCTACCTTCATAATATCCTACCGAGTTTCAGGAGGGTTTACCGTCCCGGGGATACTCAACCCCAACCGAGTTTTGGGATCATTTACCGTCCCGAGGATACTCAACCTCAACCGAGTTTTTAGGATTGTTTACCGTCCTGAGGATACTCAACCTCAACCGAGTTTTTAGGATTGTTTACCGTCCTGAGGATACTCAACCTCACCGAGTTTTAGGATTGTTTACCGTCCTGAGGATACTCAACCTCACCGAGTTTTAGGATTGTTTACCGTCCTGAGGATACTCAACCTCACCGAGTTTTAGGATTGTTTACCGTCCTGAGGATACTCAACCTCACCGAGTTTTAGGATTGTTTACCGTCCTGAGGATACTCAACCTCACCGAGTTTTAGGATTGTTTACCGTCCTGAGGATACTCAACCTCACCGAGTTTTAGGATTGTTTACCGTCCTGAGGATACTCAACCTCTCCGAGTTTTGGGATCATTTACCGTCCCGAGGATGCTCAACCTCAACCTTAATTCTAACCAAACCCTAACCTGGATATGGCTAACCTTGCATTCACTTAACTATGGACAATTCCTAGTCCTATAGTCATATAATAATCCTTAGTAACCAATGTGGACGGGTCCCACCTGATCGGTCCACGTTATCCTACTCAAAAGCTACCCGTTTTGAGTATAAACCAATACCCGGTCGGGTATCCACCTCACCCGGTCGGGTAGGGCCGGGCAGAAGCCCCTGGAACTAACTTTACTTGAGACCCGGTCGGGTCCCTGACCTTACCCGGTCGGGTCTAGTGTGGCAGTGGCTTCTGGAGCCGAATTTAATCAATACCCGGTCGGGTATCCATCTTACCCGGTCGGGTATCACCCTTGTCTCGGCGGTCAACGCCCGTTTGACCGCCCAAACGAAGTCCGATTAACGTGAAATTTTATATGCACATTCTACTTGAAGTCCTTGATCCAAAAATACCATTTTTGACCCCTGGATCATTGTGCATAATAAGTTATCACATTTTTAATCACCAAACATACAAACATGCCTTTCAACTTTGTTTTATATATATTCATGGCATAAGCCCATACTTGATTAACTTTAATCATCCCATAAAACATATACTTGATTACTTTAGGTAATCTCATGCCTCAATCAAAAGTTATAAAGCATATAGCCGTCTTCTCACCTTAATGAAGCTTATAAAGTTCTAGCCTTTCCGATTTAGCCCCGGTGAAACTCCGGTGAACTTCAACGAACTCCGGTGACAACTCCGGCAACTCTTTCAACTCCGTGAAAGTCCTTGAAGCACCTTATACAAGTTAACAACAAGGTTTTATCATCATAAAACCCTCATCAACAAAAATAACCTCTAAAAGGTTATTTTCCGGTGAAACGGTCAACTTTGTTCTCTAAATCCGTTTTGGATAAGAACCAACCTTCCAACCATTTATTCTTCACATATAACATGTGGAATGATCCTAGGGGTATGAAATATGATTATATAATCATATTTGGAAGATTAGAGAAGAGGGATGAGATTAATGGAGTTATTACCTTGTTAATCCTCAAGTTTTCCTCCTTCTTCCTCTTCTCTTTCCCCTCCTTCTTCTCCTTAAGCTTTGGTTCGAATATGGTGGATGAAGATGATGATTTGCAGAGCTTCTCTCTCAAAAATGGATAGGTGAGTCGAGTGGGTGAGATGTGGGGGTGATGGAGGTTTCCTTTTTGGCTTATTAGCAATAATATGAGAGGAAGGTCCCCCTTTCCTTCTCATTTGTCTCCCAATCACCTCAGGCCTCACTCAGCAGCCTAGTGTGCGGCTCATCTTGCTGTTTGCAAGACTAAAAACGTGGGTTGGCCCCCACTTTGATGGGTGGTCATCCCTTTGCGTCCCCAAATGTACACTCGGTCCCGAAAGTTGTATTTTCCGGACTGTTTTAACTACATTTCATTTTATCGGGTAAAATGAAATATCTATCATTCTTCCACTCATTATTGGATATAAGAATGAATTTAGATTCACCAACTTTTAATTTAGCGGTCTCCATAATTTATTATGGCTTTTATCTGTCAGTACACCCGGTACCGATAAATGGGCTTTATTTGCACAACTGGCCAACACACATGGTTTATATGGCCAACATGGATATCCACCATCATATACATATTCTCTAGACCCAGATGAATATAATATGTGGTCCCGATAATATCGGGCGGCCCCCACTTCCGGTGTGGGCCCCACGCGAATTTTACTATTCACGTTAAAGAATGATAAAAATTGACAATCGCGTAACGATGCGTTTATTCATTTCTCATGGTTCAATACATGACTTGATAAAGTACAAATACTTGGGGGCGGTGTTACATACGTATATTCCATTTACCATCTGCGTAATGTATTATGTATATAAACTACGACTATATACTCCATTATATGAAACCAGTAAACAAACACCATTATTATATATACTCCGTAATAATGATATACTTCATGAGAGCACGACATAGACCTTATATGTATATACTTGTTATTCGTTAATATGGAGTGCTATGGTATATAAAAAAATTCCGATCCATTCTCTTTGCCAACTTAAAACCAATTACGTAATCATTATTCCATTCAATTCAAATACGAAGTACTTTATTTGATTTATTTGCATTTCAACTTCCTACTGCGGTTTTAATTTTTCTTTCTGTAAACGCAGAGAACTTTTACGTATTGAAGTTTATATATTATAACCGCATAGAATTGCAGAAAATTAATGGTGATGTTATGAAGGCTCTGATGCCAAATGGTGGAAAAACTAATCATCATAATAACCAAGATCAAATAACATCACACAATTAATCATAATTGTAAATTTATAAGAACTTACTTGGAGAGTATCCAATGTTCATTTGGGAGAGATTGGAAGAAGATGATGCCATTGTTTCTCTTGAATGAAATGGATGTGTAATCCCTTATAGGACAAAAGATAGATGGAGTACTTTTAAGAGTTGTGATGCTCTCCTCTTTATGGTGTTGTGTTTGTACGTGATCACATTGGAGAAGGGAGAGTAGTTATTTATATTGGAAATAACCAATAGTCACAACCTTTCATTTATTGTCCTAAAGGGTGTTATCACAATGGTACTCCTTAAGTATTATTTCCATCAAATAATACATATATATATATATAATACATAAATATATATATAATACATAAATATAGAACACATATTAATATTGGTCTTAGGCCATATTAATTGGAAATATTCCAACAGTAGCGAACTATTAAGGGAATTGCTTGATAAATGTAAAATGGAGCATCACATCTCGGGAAAAAGAGACTCCTAAATTGCATTTGTAATTGTACATGACATTGTTTGAAAATTGGACATAAGTGACATATCAAGATTAGTCGTTAATGTAAAGGGTAGACTATAAGTGATAATCTGGCCACTACTTATAGTGACCTATAAGAAATACATATTTCTAATATTATTTTCACTTATGATTCCCGATAATAATCTTGACAATATCAAGATTAATCTTATATTTATTTTCATTCATTTAATTTTGATGTAATTTGATTTATTGATTAAAAGTATTTGATATCATAAGTGATTTGGAAAGTAAGTTCGGATAACATATTGAGACTAATTATGCTTCCATATAGATCTCATAAAAGGCACTTGACTTGTACTCCATAGATTACGTACTTACGTAGTACTCCCTATTATATAGAGTCGACCTAAAGTGTTGACTTCTATTAAACTATATAGAATTGCTTTTTTAGACTAAATAATACATCAAAATGGAATATACTTGGTAGTTGTAGGGCTGGATTCGGTTCGGGTATCCTTTGTTACCAAGTACCAACGAACTACGCGCTCAGTATGTCTACTGATCTCTCCAAACGTAATTGTACCTTTTGTAAACATAATTAACTACGATTAGTACAAATAATAAAAATTATTATTAATAATAAAAAATTAGTTCGGTTCGGTCCAACCCGTTTTTTTGAGTTTATAAACCGAGTCCGAACCAATTTTTGTTCGGGTCCCGAAATTTATCAGTTCGGTCCGATTCGGGTTTTTTCAATGTGGTTCGATTTTTTTCGGTTCAGTTTTCGATTTTCCGGTTCAAAATGCCTGCCCTAGTAGTTGGTGCAATACTACAATGTATCCTATCATGTACGGAGTTTGTTTTTTGATGGTTCATTTATGGAGTATATGACTTGCCAAAATGAACAATAAAGCTTTGTATTATAGATTTCATTTAAAAAAGTTAACCAACCCAAATGTATTATCGTTAGGGTTACAACTTACAACTAATTACTCTCTCTGCCTCAGCTTTAATAAAACTTTTCACATGTCTTATACATCTCATTTAAAAGTTCGCATTTGTATTTTAAAGATTAATTAATTATTTTAAATTACAAGTCATTTTTAAGCATTTATATCTCCTCATTAATGCGTGCAACACATGAGCCCAACATTTGTGAATGTCATTTTTAAGCATTTATATCTCCTCATTAATGCGTGCAACACATGAGCCCAACATTTGTGAATGAGTAGATTGAAAGTCAAATGATTTTATAATGAGTTTTTGCCACTTTTAGTCCTCCGACTATTATGTCATTAACACTTTTGGTACCCGACTTTAATTTTTTCCATTTTTAGTCCTTGACTATTGCGCTAGAGACACTTTTGGTATCCGTCTTTGAAAATTTCATATATACTCCTTCAACTTTCATAAAAGTGACACTTTTAGTCCTTCAACTATCGCAATAATGACATTTTTAGTCCTCCACTTATTGTGTCAAAATCATAATGGGAGGACTAAATGTGTCACTTTGATAATACTCAGGGGACTAAATGTGGAAGACCTTGAAGTCGGGGACTAAAAGTGTCTCTAGCACAATAGTCGAGGACTAAAAATGGAATAGTTAAAAGTCAAGTACCAAAAATGTCACTGATATAATAGTCGGGGGACCGAAAATGGCAATAACTCATTTTATAATGAAATGTGTAACATTGATGATTTTAAAATTTAGGTGCAAACTGCAAAGTCAACTGCAATTTTCTGGATTGATTTGGTTTAATTTAGTCTGATTTGTTTAACAATTTATATGTATTTTATAACTGACAAAGTATAATCTAGCATATTTAAGGGTTGGTTTGCAACTGCTTTTAAAAAAACACTTCTCAGCTTTTGGCTTTAAAAAAACACTTATTTTCCCAAACACTACAACTTTTATTTTTCTCGGCTTCCGCGTCAAAAGTACTTTTACTTTTTCTATTACACAAAAAACACTTATTTTACCAAACACTACCCACTTTTACTTTTCAAAATCACTTTTTTCTCAAACACTATCAACTTTTATTTAATCACTTCTCCCCATTTCATTAAAAAAAACACTTTTTTAAAAGAAGAAGCTGTTGCAAACACATACTAAGTATGGTCTAACTTCTTCTATTTAAGTGTGATTTGGTTTGTTTAGTTGACTAAATAAGTAAAAAATTAGTCTCAAGAACAAAAGTGAGCAAACTTTTGAAGTTAACTAACTCTGAAGTCTCAACGCACGGAGCCAACGAGTGAACGCAAAGGGGGCTTGAGGAAGAAGACAAAGAAGAGGGAAGAGGTTCCTTCCTTCCTTGATGGCTCTCTCTTCCCTTACCCTCCCGGGAATCTCCCCCGACATCAGAGAAACCCTGCCTTCAGCCCTTCACTCAAGAATCACTGAAACCCAATTCTAAAAGCTCAATCATCGGGAGATTTTCTCTGTAATTTTTTCCAAGAAGAAAACGAAGGGGTGCCTGTGAATGATGATCTTCTAAATGGTGATAATCATTGTTGCTTGGACAATTTTAGTGTGAAAAGCATGCAACCATATGGGGCAAAAACCTTTAAAGAGAGCCCAAGGGTCTCATTGTCCTGTCCAGTCCCATTCTCACCCAGGAAAAGCTCTCCCTACAACAAGCTTCCGCAGGTGCCCATCAAGCTCACTGTTCTTAAATTGGATGGAACTAGTTTTGGTCTCTCTCTTCTCTCTTTAACTCCTCCTGCATTTTGTTCCTTACCATCTACCTCGTATATGTTAAAAACCATTCTTTTCTGGATTTTATAGAGATATATGTGATGAGGAATGGGACTGTAGCTGAGCTAAAATTGGGGGTGGAAGCGGCCTTTAGTCATGTGCCCAAGAATGGCCCAGACGCAATCTCATGGTATTTATACATGTGCAGCATTATTGTGTTTTCCTTTACAGACAAGTGTGGAATCAAATTTTCACTTATGACATATGTAGTATATTTGTTAGCTACATTTGTGTTTGAACTGTTAAAATACATCCAGGTTTGGGTTAGATGTTTGGATTTGTTCTGTAAAAGTCTTCTGATTTACCAAGTAGAGTCTCATTTATGAGTCCTCAGAAGTAAATGAATTAAGTATGAATTGTGAAGTGTTTAATGTTTTTCAAAGAAACAACTTTATGTTTGGATTAGATCCATTTCATGGTTAGGATCCATAGTTGAGTAGTTCGGAAATTGGCAGGTTAAACTTATTGTCCTGTATTGGAAGTTGGAGGTGTTCTGAACCTAGATGCACTTTACTCCTGTGCCATTAGTTTTATGTAACCAATTTTTGTTTGCATTTGCTGATTTTTTATTTTATCTGTTCTGGCAATTGTCTGGTTTATCTGATTGGTTTGTTTTGAACTCGTGATCAATCTGCCAATTTTGAAAACCAGCTGTTGATGTTAAATTTCCAACAGATTATTGGAGTTGACTCTTCTCTGACCAATAAGCCTAATCAGATTTGAATTTGTCTGTTAGAGACCTCCAAGAAATCAGAAATTTACAGAAAGATTAACAAGAAAACAGATGAACACTTTATTGATGATGATGAACAATTACAGATGAGAACGAGAAATTCTGGCCGAAGCCCCCCAAAGAAAGAGAATAGCTCTCGATCCGTCTAAAAGCCTCCTCTACTAATTCCCCTTCCCGTCTATTTATACTAGAATACTTACAAACACTTATTATTATTATTATTATTATTATTATTATTATTATTATTATTATTATTATTATTATTATTATTATTATTATTATTATTATTATTATTATTTCTAGGGAAAACTGTCAAATAGGTCCTCAAACTTTCATAAAAAAGTCAATTAAGTCCTTCTATAGGAGACTCTGTCCGGTCGTCGCGATTTGGGGCGGTTCCCGGTGGATTTTTTTGATCAAATTTTGTGAGAATCTTATTCATCAAGTCTAGTTTATTCATACCAAGTTTCAGCTAAAAATTTAATCGGGAGTGCATTCAAATTAATTCGAGAACGCAAAAATGCGCAGTTATCTTCAAGAATTAATTTGAATGTGTTCCTGATTGAATTTTTAGCTGAAATTTGGTATGAGTAAACTAGACTTGGTGAATAATATGCTCAAAAAAATTCATCGAAAAGTTCCACCGGGAACTGCCTCAAATCGCGACGGCCAGACAAAACCTTCTATAGAAAGACTTAATTGACCTTTTTATGAAAGTTCAAGGACTTATTTGACAGTTTTCCCTTATTTCTAATAATATTCTACTACTCTAAGAGGCTGGTTCCTATCAATACTTCCCCCCTAAACATCCACCTTGCCCTCAAGGTGGGCGATAGGAAACCGCCAAGATCTTTTGCTTCTTCTTCTTTCTTGCTCCTCTACCTTCCCAATACCTAACTGATTGAGGAGCCATGAACTTCATTGCCTGAAGACCCAAAGATGTCTGGCAGCTTACAAACCCCACCACCAATCTGGATTTTGATGCTCTGTGATGCCAGATGTATACTGTGGTATTGCTACGCAAAGGAAGAGCTGCACATAGATACTCAGCACATTGATACTCAACTATTCTTTCCAGCAAATAGGGTTCCACTTCTATATTTCCAACATCTTCACCTATCATCCATTGCTCACTCTTCCATTTGTTAATAGCTCTGGTTTCAGGATATAGCTCAAGCCCTTGAGTTTCAGTTGCTCCATTCCTTGATA